TCGTTCTAACTTTGTTGGTTGTGCTCGTCGTTTTTTGCTTGGAACAGTATATTGTGTTATAGAAATTTTCACTCTGCAAACTAAATTGAAATTTACAGTTCTGGGAGTAATCCATTCGATTTTGGCAAAAATAAAAGCATTGCTTTTAAAAAAGTCTAAAAATTCGTTCATTTTAAAATTTCAAGTAAAATTGCCAATTTTTTCGGGATTTTAGACAGTTTGGCATTTTGCCGGAGTTCCACTGCCATGCATTCGTTTATCTAAAGTATTGTGGTACCGCTTTTTTTATGTGTATATGTTTTTGTTCATTTTTTTTTTTTTTGGTTTACAACTTTGCTCAGTACGCAGTCCAGTCTTCCCATCTTGTCTTTATCGCAAATGCTTGCCTCTATTTTATGGCACTGTTGATTTTCTAGCATTTTCTCTTCCATTCCTGAATTTTTGTGAAATTTTCAATCAGTATATAGTTATTTTTTTTCTCTGTAAAATGATGAAAATGTTTTGGATTGTGCTAACCAAAAAATTCAATTTCATCAGCTAGTTTGCTTACTTACTTTGGGTCATCTGTAATCCATAATGTAATTCTCCAGTTATGCGCCAGAAAAAACCTTTTTCAGTTGTTTTAGTTAGTGCTAAATCTCCTGGTAGTGAGCTTGTTCGTAATTCCTGGAACACCTTGCTCTGGATGACTTTGGTGTTAGTTGTAAGCTGTATAAGTTCTTGTGAGTTCTTTTCAAGCATAGCCGTCAAAGAAAAACTCACTAAACTTTGTTCAGAGTATACAGAAACAGGATGGAATCTTCCAGATATATCTTTTTAACGGTGGGAGAACCAGAAAAGCTGGGAGCTTGAAATTTTCAGAGGATGTCCCCCGTCCACGTAGAACTCAAAGATTTCAATTTCGACCCCCAGGAGTGTTGTGGAGAGAACTTGTAAATGCTTGAGTTGTGCTGTTTTGCTGCTTGTCTGTAATCTTAAAGTTTAAGATTTCTGTGAAAGATTAACACAACGATGAGATAGCTGCTAATCAAAGTGTGGGATAATAAGCTGTCATAAGGGAGAGATCTTTCTCAGCTTAAGCCATTATATCAGGGTTAGTGCTGTGGATAGAGTTTTGGCCAACAGATTGTAGGCGCATTTGGTGCTCATAGATGTTCTCGGCCGAGTACTTACTTGAAACCGAAGATCATAAATTGGCCGTATTCTTCGACTGTACGGTCATGGAAGAGCTCTAAACTTGTAAAAATCGTTGTTTTTTTTTATCTTAATTCTCAAATTTTCAAGATTTTTGCAGTGTTGTGAT